CTTCTGCAGGAGGCTTACAACGAAGTGAATTCAAGCGAGATGCATTATTGCGCGGCGTATGTAATTGAAAAGTTTGAACAACTAGACCAGATATGATTTCGGGCTTTATTTCACATCTTAAATACATCTGCAGGTAAAAACCGAAGTCAAGAATGTTTGGGATAGCATTGGCCTCTGAAACATGGTTTTAGCTCTTTAGATTTCAAAACTTAAATAAGATTTGTTATATTGTCTTTGACTCTTTGCCTTCTTTCCTAAATTTGAGCATGGTGAACATCTCTCCAATAAGTAACTTGTATGATCAACACCAGGTTCTGGTAATAATTTTCATATCGCCTGAAGTCCAGAGTATTCAGGATCCGGGTTGTGGCATTCGATAGTTTAAAGCACCCTTTATTATATGTACCGTCACTACAGTAAATTTTACCATTCAAAGTCACTACCATTTAGCTGTCGGTACAACTTCAAACTTCACGACTCCAACCACCGGATGTCAGTATATCTGGAAATAAACAATAAAAATGAGTGCAACTATCTGAATTGAAATGTAAATATTGTGTTTTGTTACGTTAAAGCGCGTCGAGATAAATTGTCTAATAAAACTTAAATTACAAGTAGTCGCTGGTGATGTCAGATATATCTATCTCCTCTAAAGCCAGGAGGGCATTAAAATTCAGTGTATTCTAATGTTTCATGTGTCTCTGCCCTGCGTTCTCTATGCCTGTGTTCCCTAAATCAAGTTTCCGAATTTAATTGATGATGCCCTAGTCCATTCTGACCCATAATATAGTATTCAATTCCCTCCTTCTTAAATGTAGAAACTTAGTTTGTCAGAGAACATAAAAGATAGAAGGTGCGGGTTCGACATCAACATTTGTAGGATTTATCAAGGGTTCACCACGTACTTTTGAGAGACAAATAACATTCTCTCGCTTTTATAACAAGCAATTGAATCTGTATATAACATCCTCTCTTAACGAAACAACCGTAATATTAAGAGAATATAATATGAAATATATACATGACAGGAATGATGATATACCATTTAAAATTTGAAATATATTCCCTTTTATTGGAACTATTAATTTATTATTATTATTTAAATTATTTTATGTTAATTCATTTTTACTTCATTTGTGAATTATTAATTTTTATAAATTTAAATTAAATTTATGTTTATATATAAACATGTATTTTCTATATTATTTTAATAAATTAAATATATTGTTGCTCAAAGTTATTTTATTTCAATACTAATTTCCAGTTGATTTTCCTATAGTTTTAAGTTCTCTGGTTTGTCCACAATCCACACTACTAAAACACCTAGCTAAAGTGCTTTCACCATTAATAAAGTTAACCTTTAATTATCATTGCTCCAGTGTCATCGCTACAGATTCATATATATATACCTTTCTACAGACGACAGAACATTTTACCATCATTACCACCTAATGAGATGCTACCATATAATTTGACAACACGTGATCCTCTCTACTACCTCATGTTAGGCAAATGTCGCAATTTTTATTTGTATATTCAGCTGCGGGCGATGTTTGATGCACACCTTTATCACCGCCAATAAATAATATTATCATCCTTTAAATATACTATAAGATACTGATACGTGTTTTATAATCGCATATTCTTCTCCCATCCTCAGCTTTGTTATATTGCACCAATTTTAATGACTGCTATTTCAAAATAATGATTGTACGTGCACACAAATAAAGCTTAAATTTGGAACAAAAGCCGTTTGTGCCTTACCCTGGATGGCAAACTGAAAATGTTTCTCACCACAATTTCCAGATTCCCTCTCGCAAACTAGTGTAAATCGAGTGTTATCTTTGCCGTGATGCAGGATTCACTGCTCCACGACAACATTGCAATAGTGAAACCCGTGTCACAACCAGGTAATGGCTATGTGATTCAACAGAAAGTCGGCATCAGACCGTAAGCCGCAGACAAACTATTAAAAGTGGTAGTTATTATTTCATGACGCGTAAGACATATAACTAAACCAGCGATTTATATCGACATCTTCCTCACTATTATATTCAATTTGTCAGATTCCAAGAATGCATTGTAATTTTCAACATCAAAATTAGAAACTCATCGCTGACTGTTAAGTATTATCAAACAAATTTCAATTACAAAGCCGCCATTGTTGAACATTGCGTACTTATATTTGAAACTCACCTCCATAATTCTCTCTTTCGCCATTCGTTATTTTTATTCGTACGTTTCGCGCTAACGTACTCAGCAACCTATGTGTAAATTCATTGATATATACGTCAGCAGAATAATTACAACTGGTGCCGTCGTCTAATTATAAACAATTGCCGCCTTTAGCATCGCACCGGCATTACTAACATTAACCGACCTGGCGGCCAGTATAGCAAAAGGCTATAAGCACGCTCAAAATATCGCTATCAATATCTGTTATTTCGATTACAGGATTAATGCCTGATGATATTGAAAAGGTTCTCAGTAAGGGCTCGCTGCTGCAGTATCAAACGATCGCGACATACTGTTAATTATAATTATATTACTCGTCGTATTATTTTATAAAGCTGAAGTCAAAAGTAATACTTACACAGCCGTTAAGGTTTAAACTTTAAATGACATCAATGAGACTGTTCAGTAAATAGAACTGTTACTGCTATTATTTCTCATTAGATAGTTCATCCTCAATTATTCAGAGCAGGTGTTTGCACTGAACTTGTAAGCCATTATTAAGTTCGCTCCTTTGTAAAAATAAATAATATATAAGTATATTAAATAAATGCAATTCATCTTGTGTAGGTATGCAGGTATTTGATAAGCAGGCCATAGAGTAACAGAAATATAGTTTCTAGATATCAAATAATTTTCTTAAAATTATATCGAAATCGGACAATAATTTATCAATTCATATCCTATAGCTGACTTTTAAGCGAAAAGATCAGATAATCTATGAATATAGTATTGAATTTCAAACCTGTCATCATTATATGTGTCTTAATATTAAAATGGGTAAGCAGGTCATTGCTACTTAACACATATAACTAAATAAAGATTTTCAGACAAAAATAAAAACAAAAGCTGGAAAGGCATATAGTTGGTTTAATTATTGACTGATTATTATTTCATCGTCACTGTCTTTCTCATTTCCCTATTTTACCAATTTGATCAGAGAACGTAGATGTATAGAAAAGTTCTTAAAATATGCCACGTTTAGACAGTTTTAGTAAAAATTCGTTGGGACCCGAAAAATTAAAAATAAAAATTAGGATGATTGAAAAAAAAAACAATTTAATGAAATTAGTGCCTAAAAAGCTCAAATGAAGTTCATATCATAAATTTTCTAAATTAAATTTAAACAGTACTGTTATTTTGCTATACAAACTATTTTTTAAACAAAAAATTAATTTTAGTCAACAAAAAAATTAAATTAAAAATTTGTGAAACTTTTTTTTATTACTTAACTCTTTGTTGATATTTTTTTTATAAAAGTAAAATTGAATAATTGTAATAAACCTTAATATTGAAAATATTTTAAAAGAATATTATTTACATAGAAGAAAGTAAAACTGTAATAATTAGAAAATCGGATAGATTCACTAAATTCGTACACTAATAAAAATTAGCATTACTTAAAGAAATTGAATTATTTAATTGAAAATTAAAACTTTTTTATTTTATTTACCGAATTTTTAGGGCATTAATAAAACAAATGACAATTAAAATGATATGAAATACTCATAAAAGAAATTTATTTTTAGTAAGAAATCCACTTAATATTTTTTTGTTTAATGAACTTTAAAAAACACAATTTAAAAAAAAAAACCATCAAGAAAATTAAAATAAATTGTTTAATTTCTTTTTTAAGAAAAAATTATCAAAAAGTTAAACCGAAGATTAAAAATAATTTTGTGCAAAAATTTTTTTTTTTTATTTGTTTAAACAAATTATTAATTTTTATTCAGTTTTTTGTTAGTTTTTTTTTATTAGTTTTTTTATTATTTTTTTTTATTAGTTCTTTTTTATTATTTTTTTTTTATAAAACTTATTGAGAATTAAGAAATGGAAGTTTACAAAAGAAAGTTAAGCGTTAATATTTTTATTGAGAAATTGGCTTAATTTTTCAGTTTCATTAACTTATAAAAACCATGATTTTTAAGGAACCATTTTTGAATTTAAATAAAAAATTTAATTTTTAAATTACAATTTTTTTATTCTTATTATGACTACTTTTTTATTTGAGTTTTTGTTTGTTTTGAATAATATCTGTGTCATTGTTTTGAATTTAATTTTTGAAAATTTTATTTAAATTTAGTAAATTTTTTTTTCTTTTTTTAGTTTTAATTTTTTTTTAACTTTTTAAGTGTTTTTTTACTATTACTAATTTTTTTTTTAATTTTTGTAAATATTTAAACCAACAATTTTTATTAAGTTTTTTGGTTTTTTTTATTCATAAGCATATTTGTACATACATACTTACATATAGAGCAGTGCGCGCACATGTACTTATTGATAAGTGATATATCATTATATTAAATTATATAATATAACATATTGATGTACATATGTATATACATAAATTATTAATTCTGTAACAATTGAAATAAGAAAATTATTAAAAAAGTAAAATATATATTTTTTGCATAATCTTTCACATTTTATCAATGTAGCATTTGTACAAAAAAATAATAATTTATCAATTTTTCATCATAAAAATCGTTTATATGGCAAAAAATAATCATGCATATGTGAAGTGGCATTTGTATTTTTTGTTTTCTCATTCATTTCATTTCATTTTTCTCTTTATGTTGGGAGATACGTAATTTGTCAGGGAACGTTGTTATAAATTCTCATTTCTTTTAAATAACAGCAAATACTACAGAAAATGGTGAACGCCTTGATCTCAATTTTTCAGCCAACAAATCGAGCATTATACAAAATTCAATTTGCACCTTCTCGTTGTTCTAAGTTCTCTGGATCAACACAGAGCCATAGAAAAATGTTTTTGCTGCAGTATAGCGTGAGTAGCGAAGCGAATAAGTTCAGTTTTCTTAAGCTTGTTGTGTTGTGACGACTGCACTTATATACAATATATCCGTAAGAATGTATATACAAAAATATATAACTTAAATGTTGATTTATCGGAAAGGATAAGTGTTACTCATTACGATTATTGTTTCTACACTTTATTGCATATTTGTAGAACAAAAAAGAACAGTTCTTATGAACATACAAGTACTATGCATTCTGTGCCGAGACCTCATCCGGTCTGACGCAAAGTATGAGTCAACATTTAGGAGTGCTATAGCTCAAACAGTCACCGACATTCCTCCCTTCCGTACTTCAGCTGATAAGACCTATCTTATGAAAGTGCAATGTAAATACACTCACCACCATGGATAAATGATCCGAAACTCTTTGATTTGAGAGAGCACTGCCAAAGTCTACATTTTTATAACATTTGTTAATGCTGCCACTAGTGAAAGAAATACGTTTTGGATTTAATTATTTCTTGGGTATTTTTCGGTTTCCATTTTAGAGAAAAATATACATAATTAAAATTAGTTTAACAAGCTAGATATTCTATATGACGTCTAAATAATGTACTGGATATTTTAATCACAAAGTTTTTCAAAATTAACGTTTAAAACTAAATTAACAAAATATTCAATTATTTCAAACACTTACGAACTAAACATGAACCTTATTTCTTTTTTATATACTCAATAAACTAATATCTTTTGATAATTTATTCGGAAGTCAAATTTTACATAACATATGCTGGGAATTCTAACCAAAATATGTATATACGTTGACAATTGGTACTGCTAAGCAAACCAATATTCTGCGACAAAATACCCGCTCTATCTTAAAAACAAACTATATTAAAACTCTTAAATAAAGATATAATATACGTAAAAGTCACCAAAAAAATCTGACCTACAATTACCCACTGATTTCGCATTTTATTTCTGCGGATTTTAGTGGTAGTTCATTGTTGGTTGTCATCTGTTCAGTAGCTCATGAACTCGTGGTTTTCTTGCAGCACTGAAAGTTTATGAGCTCTCTCAGAAGGCAAAGAGAGGAGTTTTCATCATTTTATCTATGTTGCATACTATGCATTTGGGAGCGCTTAATAATTATAGCGCTCAGTGTGTTTAGTTTCCACTTTTTAATTTGGTAAATCCCCGAATTCGAAGTGACAGTGAAATTTCGGTAAATGTACAGTTTAAGTCCCCCAACGAAGGAGGCCTCAAAAATGTATTTTTATTTTAAATCGTCTTATTTTGACGCGAAGATTACAAATCCGTAAGAGGGACGTATATTTTTTTCAATATTTCATATAAATGTACATACATATATAAAGGTATATATAACACAATACTTACAAATAAATTAGTTGTTGCTGGGCGACAAAATTCTGCAAAATTTAGATCACGTAGCTGTAATTACAAATTCAACAAAATAGGCATTTTCTTGTGAAAAGAAATACTGCAATTGTAATGTAACAGGCACGATTACGGTTTCTTTTGCGCTGTGATCTGATGGTATGGACAAATAGAGGAGATCGTCCAACTTCTTTCCGCACTGGTTACTCTTGGAGCGCGGCGAAAGAGTTCGAACGAAATGAATTATGCTCACCCCAGTTTTGGACCGACCAGGGTTAGGTGTAGAAAGGAGCTACGAAAGAACATATGCAAAATGTGTTAAGTTTCTAATTTTTTTTAATTCCAAAAAATTTAAGTATTAAAGAAATCGACTTTCCGCTCTTGTATTTGTAATCTTCGCGTCAAAATAAGACGATTTAAAATAAAGAATTTTAGTTTTTGTGGCCTCCTTTGTTGGGGCATCCTTCCGAGCTAGCTGAGGTGAAATCCACACATCGTGGTTCACTAGATTTTGACAATTCACACGATTGTCCGCAATTGAACCTTTTCTATATATCTACGTTCTCTGATCAAATTCGGTAAAAACAGGGAATGAGAAAGACAGTGACGATGAAATAATAACCAACACAATTAAACCAATCCATACGCCTTCCCAGATTTTGTTTTTTTTTTATTTCTTTTTGTTCGAAAATCTTTATTTTAGTATTATATGTGGCTAAGTGAAGTTATGACCGCCTTTACCCATTTTTAACACAAGGACACATTATTATAATGACGGTTGCGGTTTGAAATTCAATACTATATCTCACAGATTGACCGATCTTTTCGCTTAAAAGTCAGCTATAGGATATGAATTTGATAAATTATTGTCCGATTTCGATAATTTTAAGAAAAATTTGTTTTGATATCTAGAAACTATATTTCGTCGTTTCCAGTGGCCTTGCCATTTCAAATACCCGCATACCTACACAAGATGAATTTACTTATTTAACATACTTTATATAATATTTGTTTCTTTACAAAAGGAAAGTTTAATAACTAATAATGGCCACAAGTTCTGCGCAAACACCTGCTCTAGAGAGTAATTCGAGTGAGCTGAACCATTCCATCGAGAAATTAATGAAGAAAATATGTGTCTTCTACGACGAACAGTTTCAAACCCAACGGCTATGTAAGTATTACTTTGACTTCAGCTTATAAAAAATAATACGATTTATAATATAATTATAATTTTTGCACAGTATACCCGCGCATCGTTTGATACTCGCAGCAGCGAGCCCTTACTTCGAGAACCTTTTCAATGGCCATCAGGGCATTAATCCGCCGGCCGCCAGGCTCTGTTTACCGTTAGCAATGTCGGTGCGATGCTAAAGGCGGCAATCGTTTTACAATTAGACGATATCATAACCAGTTGTGTGGACTACCTCATGACGCATATCAATGAATTCACATTACAGGCTGCTTATACGCTAGCGCTTGAAACGCAATGTGAATGTTTAAAAAACAGAATAAACGAACATGAAAGAGAGAATTTCATGGAGGTGAGTCTAAATATAAGTACACGCAATGTCTAACAATGGCGGTACTTTTGTAATTGAAATTTTGTTTCTGATAATACTAGATCAGTCGAAGCGATGAGTTTCTGAATTTTGATGTGGAAAAATTACAATGCATTCTGGAATCGGACAAATTGAATATAAATCGTGAGAAAGATGCCTATGATGCCATAAATCGCTGGTTTAGTTATGATGTTCCCGCGCGTCAGGAACAACTACCACTTTTAATAGCTTGTCTGCGGCTTACGCAATTTGATGCCGACTTTCTGTTGACACACATACAGCCATTACCTGGTTGTGAGCTACTGGCTTTCAAGGCGTTATCGTGGAGCAGTGACCCTGCAGCGCGGCCAAAGATAAATATCCGATTTACAGAACCACGTGTTGTCACTGCTGGAAATTGTGGTGAGAAAACATTGTTGGCAGTTTGCAGTGATGGGGTAAGCACAAATGGGTTTTGTTCCAAATTTAAAAGCTTTATTTAATATACGTACAATATTATTTTGGAATAGACGACATTAAACCTGCTGCAATATAACAAAGCTAAGACTGAGTGGCGAGACTATGCGATTATAAAAAACGATTACACTTATTATAGAACTATTATAAAGGATGATAATATATTATTTATTGGCGGTTTTAAAAATAGTACATCAAACATCGCCCGCAGCTGGAATATACGAAATAAAACATGGCGAAATTTGCCCAACATGAAGGTAGCAAGAGAGCAGCACTGCGTTGTCGAATTATATGGTAACATCTACGCGATTGGTGGTGCTGATGGTAATAATGCTCTGTCGTCGGTAGAAAGGTATATATGTATAAATCTGTAACGATGACGATTGGGAGCAATGACAATTAAAGGTTAACTTTAAGCTTAATGGTGAAAGCACTTTAGGCTAGGTGTTTCAGGGTAGTGTGGATTGTGGACAAAACAAAGTTATTCTACATTTAAGGAGGGAATTGAGTACTATATTACTATATTATGGGTCAGAACAGGGCACTAGCCTCTAAGATCTAAATTCCGGAAACTTGATTTAGAGGACATTGAAACATTAGAATATCATCCCGGCATTTAAATGCCTCTGGCTTTAGGTATACTCTATTTCTTTGACATCACCAGCGACTACTTTAGAATAATTCTAAGTTTTTATTAGACAATTTCATCGTTGACGCGCTTTAACGTAACAAACACAATACTTTACATTTCAATTTAGATAGTTGCACTCATTTTTATACTCTCGCAACCTGTTGCTACAGAGTATAATGGTTTTGTTCATCTAACGGTTGTTTGTATCACCTAAAACTAATCGAGTTAGATATGGGTTAATATATATAAATGATCAGGATGAAGAGACGAGTTGAAATCCGGTGACTGTCTGTCCGTCCGTCCGTCTGTCCGTCCGTCCGTGCAAGCTCTAACTTGAGTAAAAATTGAGATATCTTTATGAAACTTGGTAGACATGTTTCATGGTGCCGTGAGACGGTTGGTATTGCAGATGGGCGTAATCGGACCACTGCCACGCCCACAAAACGCCATTAATCAAAACAAATAACTTGCCAACTAAGCTCCGCAATAAGATACAAGAACTGTTATTTGGTACACAGGATCACATTAGGAGGGCATCTGCATTAAATTTTTTAAAAGTGGCGTGGTCCGCCTCTAATAGGTTTAATGTGCATATCTCCTAAACCGCTAATGCTATATAACAAAATTCACTGAAGCAAATGTTTTTAGCACTCATTGACGGTGTGAAAATAGTTGAAATCGGGTGGCAACTCGCCCACTCCCATATAACGGTACTGTTAAAACTACTAAAAGCGCGATAAATCAAGCACTAAACACGCCAGAGACATTAAATTTATCTCTGAGATGGTATAAGATGACTTTATAGGAACCGCGTTCAAAATTAGACAGTGGGCGTGGCACAGCCCACTTTTAGGTGAAAACCATATCTTGAGATCTGCTTAACCGATTTCAACCAAATTCGTGCATAACGTTCTTTCATGTTTCTATGTCACAGTGCAAAAAATGGCGAAATCGGACTCAACCACGCCTACTTTCCATATAACACCATTTTTAAATTCCATCTGATTATTTCACTTTCCACTATGCAAATCAGGCAACAATGACTGTATCGATAAAACTTTGCGTGAATAATGCATTAAAGTTGACACCTTGGGGCCAAAAATTGTCTAAATCGAACCAAAACTGTTTAAGCCGCTAAGTACTAAATATGTGGACCCCAGTGCCTATAGTTGACCTTCTACCGAAAATATCAGCCAATCCACAAAGAAATCTCAAACGAGTATACTATTTGACTTTGCGAGAGTATAAAATGTTCGGTTACATCCGAACTTAGCCCTTCCTTACTTGTTTTTCTTATTTTTTATTAATTTTTTTTATTATCTTTAATTTTATATTTTTTATTCCTTTTTTAAATATTTTTTAATGTAAAAATTTTCGTATTTTAATTCGAAATATTTTGTCCAACAAAAAAATGAAGTTCATAAAAAATTATAATTACTAAAACATTGTTGTTGATCCAGGGAACTTAAAACAACGGGAAGGTGCAGGCTCGACAGCGAACATATGTAAAATTTCAGTCGGGGAATTCACCTCACAAGCAGGAGAAACAAATAACATTTCTCGCTTTTATAACAGCGGTGAATCTGTACACATACGCTCTCTTAACATAACCAACCGGTGAATATTGAAGAGAATATAATATGTATGCCAAACCGGGAATATTGATGTGCCTTTTGAAATATATTTCCTTTTATTTAACTGTTATTTATAGTTTTTATACTCTCGGCACCTGTTGCTACAGAGTATAATAGGTTTGTTCACCTAACGGTTGTTTGTATCAATTAAAACTAATCGAGTTAGATATAGCGTTATATCTCTCTATTATATATAAAAGTTTTCTGCTGCTGTCGAGAATCAACTAACATAAGAGCGAGCTAGCTCGCGCTCGGCGGGGGGCGGACGTATATATAAAAGATCAGGATGAAGAAACGAGTTGAAATCCGGGTGACTGTCTATCCGTCCGTCCGTCTGTCCGTCTGTCCGTCTGTGCAAGCTGTAACTTGAGTAAAAATTGAGATATCTTTATGAAACTAGGTAGACATGTTTCTTGGTACCGTAAGACGGCTGGTATTGCAGTTGGGCGTAATTGGACCACTGCCACGCCCACAAAACGCCATTAATCAAAAACAAATAAATTGCCATAACTAAGCTCAGCAGTAAGATACAAGACTGGTATTTGGTTCACAGGATCACATTAGAGAGGGGCATCTGCAGTTAAATTTTTTTTAAAGTAGGCGTGATCCTGCGCCCTAAGAAGTTTAATGTGCATATCTCCTAAACCGCTAAAGTTATAACAACAAAATTCACTGAAAGCAAATGTTTTTAGCGCCTCTACCCACAGTGTGAAAATGGGTGAAATCGGATGACAATCCCGCCCACTCCCCATATAACGGTACTTTTAAAACTTATAGGTAAAGTAAAAAGTTCGTTCGGTTTTTATCTAAGAGATGGCGTTATTGTCCATAGTATTAGTGTTACATGTCGCATCATGTCATACTATACGGCGCTGAAAACGTGTTTATTCGCGCTAAAAGTTTGTCTTTGTGGCGCTCGTCAAAGATGGACACCAACAAAGAGAAAATTCGCTATATTTTACAATTTTTCTTCGATTAAAGCGAAAAAGCAGCCAAAGCGGCTGAAAACATTAATTTAGGTTATGCGCCCGATACTGTAAACGAACGTGTAGCACAAAAGTTCTTTGCTAGGTTCCGTTCCGGTAATTTCGATTTCAAAGATGCACCACGCGTCGGGAGGCCTGTCGTCGAAAATTGCGATAAAATCATGGAAATAGTGGAAACAGACCGTCACGTGAGCACTTATTTAATTGCTAAGGAACCAAAGTTAAGCCAGAAAACCGTTTGGAACCATTTGCATAACCTGGGATTCAAAAAGAAGCTCGATGTTTGGGTGCCACACCAACTAACGCAAAAAACATAATGGACCGAATTTCCATCTGCGAATCGCTGCTGAATCGCAACAAAATCGACCCGTTTCTGAAGCGGATTGTGACTGGCGATGAAAAATGAGTCACTTACGATAACATCGAGCGCAAACGGTCGTGGTCAAAGCTCGGGGAAGCGGCCAAGACCGGATTGACGGCCAGGAACGTTTTGCTGTGTGTTTGGTGGGATTGACAAGGAATCATCTACTACGAGCTGCTCCCCTATGGGCAAACGCTCAATTCGGCCCTCTACTGCCAACAACTGGACCGCTTGAAGACAGCACTCATCCAGAAGAGGTCATCTTTGAGCAACAGAGGCCGAATTGTGTTCCATCAGGACAACGCCAGGACACACACGTCTTTGGTGACGCGCAAGAAGCATCGGGAGCTCAGATGGGCGGTCCTAATGCACCCACCTTATAGTCCGGACCTGGCACCAAGTGATTACCATCTTTTCCTGTCCATGGCGAACGCGCTTAATGGTGAGAAGTTAGTCTCAAGAGAGGCCTGTGAAAATTGGCTCTCCGAGTTTTTTGTCAATAGGGACGCAGCCTTCTACGAGAGGGGTATAATGAAGTTGGCATCTCCTTGGCAACAAGTTTACGAACAAAAAGGCGCATATTTGACTTAAATCGGATAAATGTACACAAAGTTATCATCTTTTGAAAAATCAATAAAAAACCGAACGAACTTTTTACTTTACCTAATACTAAAAGCGCTAAACAAAGCACTAAACACTGACAAAAAATTAATCAGTGGGCGTGGCACCGCCCACTTTTAGGTGAAATCCCATATCTTGGGATCTGCTTTCCCGATTTCAACCAAATTTGGTACATAATATTCTTCTCATATTTCTATATTATAGTACGAAAATGGGCGAAATCGGATTACAACCACGCCTATTTCCCATATAACACCAATTTAAATTCCATCTGATTCTTTCACTTTCCACTATGCAAATCAAGGAACAATGATTATATCGGGGTAAAACTTTACGTGAATAATTCGTTTAAAGTATGCCACCTTGTGGCCAAAAATTGTCTAAATCGAACCAAAACTGTTTAAGCCGCTAAGTACTAAATATGTGGACCCCAGTGCCTATAGTTGACCTTCTACCTAAAATATCAGTCAATCCACAAAGAAATCTCAAACGAGTATACCATTTGACTTAACGAATATAAAATGTTCGGTTACATCCGAACTTAGCTCTTCCTTAATTGTTTAAATAATTTTATGTTAATTCAATCTTACTTTATTATGAGTTACTATTGTATTAATAGTTTAAAAGTATTTTGGTATATTTCTTAAAACAATTTACTTATGTACTTGACACCATTATGGAGTCACAAAGTGCATTGTACATGTAAACAAATATGAAAGAAAAATGTTTGTAAATTTGTCCAGAGAACGTATATCATATCATGATATACGTTCTCTGATTTGTCTACAAACAAATGTATGTAGATATGTACACTCATTACTTCCTGTGAAATCTCCGTTGACACGGTCAAGCCAGAGAACTTAAAACAATTTTATTTAATTAAGTTCTCTGGGTGAACTGTGAAATTTTATTGTTTTAAGTTCTCTGGGTGAACTGTCTGAGAAGCTTTTTTAGCACTAAATCTTGTCTTTCTAGCGCCACATATCGTAAGCCGGTCGCACTTATACAACGTGAGATACATATTATAAAGCCATCTATTGAAAATATAATGGATTTCTTTTTACCAGACATACATATGTAAGTATATATGTTTTAAAAAATTGTATAGGTCAGTTTGTA